GCCCCGCCCCCGCCCCTGGCCGTGGCGCCTCCCCGCCGGGGTCCGTCCCAGACCCGGGAAAGCGACGTGAGCCCCGCGCTCTCGGCCCGCGAACCCACGGAGGCGACGTCCTGGCCCTCGGAGTTCTGCTGGCAGGTCCTCTAATTACTGCCGGAAAGACCCGCCAGCCGTTTTTCCCTGCCCATCTGTTACCGCGTATCTGTCACGCGTGAAGTTCTGTTAAAAAGAGGGGTTGACGCAAGTTACTTCATGGATTCTTTAAAAGAAAAGTGATAGTGCCTATAATTAGAATTAGACCTGTCAGAATCCTTTCTCCATCCTTTAAACGCAAATATAATCTTCGGGTAAGTGATAAAGGGTGTGCAAAGTACACCTTAAACACGCGGTAAACAGTAGCTAGAAAAATTCTCTTGGAAGCCTCAGAGGAGGAAGTTAACAGTTGCTGGCATTTATATGCTGTTAATTTCAATGAAACGAAGGAGGTTTTAAACATCAGTTTAGGTTCTAGGACATGCTGAGCCTGGTTCTTGAAAACAGAAAAAGGATGTAATAGAAAAGTGCTCCAGTATCTTGATGGTATATATGTGACAGCGTGAATGATGTGTTTTTGGAAAATGAAAGCTTAATGAAAGAAATAGACCACTCCACTCCCAGGACTCCTGCAGTGTTGAAGGTCCACAAAAGGAGTTTCAGTGATGAGGGGGTGGGGAGAGGAGGATAGAGGGGTCATGAAGAATGGCATCAATCTTTATTAGACTACCTGCCAATTTGTGGTTTTGGTCATAGAATGTCATAGAGTATTGAATGTAGCTAATCTAAAAAAGCAACAGTAGCAACTGCTGACATGGATTAAGCATTTAATATGTGTCAGACAGTTTTCACTACTGCCCTATGGTATGAGGTAGGCTCCACATTTAACAGAAACGGAAAATGAACAGGTAAAGTCCAATAAAATATTCAAGTCGTGGAACCAGAAAACGGCAGAGCTGGGATTCAAACCCAAGCTGTCTGTGAAAGGAAGCATGAGCATATTATCATGTTCAACCTAGGCAGGCTGGGACCTGGGTCCAGTTCCTTAAACACTGTGTGGCCATGACGTCTTGCTGCACTGATTTTTTAAAATGTTAACGTAGAGTTCTTGGTATGAAAAATAGATGGCTTGACCCAGTCTGCATATGCTGCATTATTAGAAAAAAGATGGTCTCTGCTAGTTCTCAGTCTTTGCCATTTGCTTCTCCATGGTGTGGTTTCATATGTTCCTCCATCCTCTATGTTTCCTGGAAATCGGAGTCCTGTAAGTTATAGCTAGCACTTGGTCATATTCAGGTTTGATTTTTTTTTTTTCCTCCTGGTGGTGGGGCAAGCCTCTCTATAGGTTCCTGTGTATTTTTAAATATTTAATTTATAGCATATAAATATATACTATAGTATGTAGTGTGTAGAGTACTTTAAAGAAATGTGTTGGGTAAAATTAAGCTTTACTTTGTAATAATGTTTAATGTGTTAAATACTGTTATTTATTATAACAATAAAAGCAGGAACGGTAATTTTAAAGATAGTAGAGGTGTCTCCAATGCCAGCTGGCCAGGAGGCCCTGTCAGTTGATTAATCAGCCTTTATAAATCCACATAGCAAAGACAATTAACCCAGGTCGTTTTGTTTTTACTTTTTTAGTGGGGTCATGATGATAGAGGGTAGTGGTGTACAGCTAAGCAGATAGTTGAGTTGTTTCATAGTTTTTCATTTAATGTAGTAAAGTATATATTTTTAATTCTCCAAAAAAGCTCACACCCCACCTCAGTCCTTCACTTAGCACTTTAAAATTAATTCCGAAATTAAATGGCATCTGTAGAATTAGGAAAACTTTGGTATCTCCCTATATTACTCTACCTTACTTTTTTGCATAGGCTTAAGCTTTTCATCTTTGTGTCAGACTTGAATCCCTGAATTTTAAGAGAGGTAAAACTGCTAAGTGCCTAGATAATGCTAGCCGATAACAGAGCTATTTTTTTCTTTAATAAAGACTGTTATTTCATCTTCTGAAGTGTTAGACATAAAACCAGCTGGTTTTAGGCAGTTTTTAATGATTTAATTCCAAATGGGAAGAACAGATTGGATATATAAATACATTTTCAAGGAACAAATACTGGGATGAAATATTCTAAAATGCCACAGTTCTCCCTAATTATTGTAATTGAATATGATCAGTTACAAACTAAAAAAACTGAGTAACGGTAACTTCAGTGTTTGAAATCATAAACACCAAAATTCATCTCTCTACTACTTTGAGATACAATGTCTTTACAAAGGGTGAACTGTTAAAGTGCTTTCATATATGTGGCTGATTCTCACAGTGGCGGTTTTACAGCTTAATAAACTGCTTCTGATTACATGCTCACTTCTTATAAAAGGAATGTAGGCCTAATGTTAATTTTTTAAATAAAGAGAATAATGTTGCTTTTGGTTTTGAGAATGTATTTAGTGCCTCAACACATATTATTCTTATGATTGGATACCCCAAATAAATTAAATGACCTTTTAGGTCCTCTTAATTAACTTTATTTTCAGTCAACGTTTTTTTTGTTTTTTTGTTCTCCACACCCCCCTCAGAAAAAGATATTTTTGGAGGAAGTTCATTATATAAACTGTTTCCCTTGATACTCAGGTAAGTGAGAAAAGATAAGATCTTTGTACAATTAAATAACAAATTTAACATCTAGACTACTTAGGTTAAAATCACTGGTCTAGATGTTTGCATCAGTTTGTTTATAAGACTTGGATCTTAAAACCATACATTTTCAGTAAAATATTTATTTCAGTTCCCCCAGAATCTTGACAAGGTATTTCATGTCTGTTAACCTGTTTTGTGATGGCTTAACATCAGCTATATTTTTTAGGTCAAGTAACATTAAATCTAAACTTCTAAAAATTTACTTTTTAAAACTGTGTCTCCAAGTTCTAAGCACTTTTGAGGTATATATTTAGTTTTGACTTTAGAGGGAAAATGTCACCTTTGTAATGGGAAAGAAGTAAATTGTAGAAACCAGAAGTTCTTGTTTTAGTTACTTCATTATCCCCTTAAATACTGATTCCTAAACATTCTTCTCATTCCCTATTTCCTCCATCTCTCTTGGTCAGCTACATTGCTGGTTCCTAAGCTATTTTTTTTTTAAGTTTATTTGTTTTTCCAGCTCTCTTGAGGTATAATTGACATACAACATTATGTAAGTTTAAGGTGATTTGATACATTTATATATTGCAAAATGATGACCACCATAGCATTAGCTAACACCTCCATCCCGTCATATAAGCACCATTACTTTTTTGTGGGGAAAACATTTAAGATCTACTCTTTTAGCAACTTTCAGCTATATAATACAGTATTACTAGCTGTAATCACCATGCTATATGTCAGAGCCCCAGAACTTGTTACTCTTGTAACTGGAAATATTGGGGTTTTAATTGTTATCAACCTAGGGCTTCCCCAGTGGAGATGCTTCTTCATCAAGCTAGAGTGGTGACCTCAGAAATTACCATCCACAAAGCTTAGTTAGACCAGGTCAGATCAAACATACAACATTTGGAGTTCAAATTCCCATTGAATGGGAACTACCTACACACTTGGGATCCCCCAAATTCCACGGTTGCCTCAGTCCTAGGAAATGACATAAAACCATGTCAGTCAGCCCATGGCCACTGCTAAAAGGAGAATGCTAGGACCCTCCACATCCATCCTGAACCTGAGGGCATTGGAATGAATCAAAAGGTTTAGGGTTCCATTGGCATTAAGCACCATTTGCTGTACCTCATTCGACTCTCAGTGAGGCAGTGCTCTCTTCATTTTCCTTTCTTCCCTGACTTTGACCACATAGCCATCCTGTCTCCAAAACCTCTGTTTGATGCATACTTCTTGCTTCTGTCCATTTTCCAGTTCCCACAGCCAAATGGTTCATTATTTCTTCCTCAGTAATCTACTCCCTCTAGCATCACATTCACCACTCAGTCCTTTATGCCTCTTCCACAGTCATTTTTTCTGCCAGCTAATTTACTGCTGTCATAGTTTTCATCAAAAGCCTATAATGCTTGACCACTAGCATCTGTGGTACTCGAAATTTCGTGACCGTTATCAAGCCGGCCTGAGCTACAGCATCCATCCACCTGACACCATCAGTAAGCATCACACAGCAAATGTTGCCATGCTGACTTACAGTTTACTTCAGCCGGGTTGTCACTCCCATCTGTGTGTTCTTGCCCTTTTTCCTTTTGTTAGAACCCCTCTTCCTAAGTCTTATAGGATTCTTCCCCGAGACTTTTACTAACGATGGCTTCCATCGTTGGTGCTACTTATTGTACCTACAGCTTATCAGTGCGTTTATTATGTTAAGTATTTCATTTTCTTCTGGGTTTAATGCAGGTTGTTGTCTTATGAATTTTACATTTTAATTTGTATGTCAGTGCATGCCTATTACATTATTATTCATCTTTAAGATTTATACTGTATGCTTCCTTGTAGACCACGAGGTAGATGTTTAAGAAATACCTACTGATTATTTTAACCTTGGGCTAGACACCTCATTTGTCCTCTCCATTATACCTTTCCTTTGCCCACTCTTAACAGTTGTGTGAGATTTGATAATTAATGAGTATTTTGTGTTCTATTTTTTTAGTAGTGTGTGCACACACACACTTTCCAAAAGGTAACATAGAAAGATTATGATCTTGGTCACTGACTATGTGACTTCATACAAATTATTTAACTTCTCTAAGCCTCAATTTCCTAATCTATAAAATGGGGATGATAAAATCTACCTTAGAGGGCTGTTATAAGGATGAGGGGGAAAAGAATGTATTCAGAGTGCCTAGTACAGTGTCTGATAAATAGTAGATACTTCAGAAATGGTCATTTTTATTATTGCTAGTCTAGGTGCTATGTTTTAATTCATTAATATCTATTTTTTCTATCTCTAGGTTGAATATATTTCAGGAAAAGTTTTTTTCACCACCTGTTCTGACTTGAATATGCTGAAAAAATTAAAATCTGCAGAAAGGTTATTTTTGCTGATTAAAAAGCAGCTTCCATTTAATGTTTCTTTAAGTAAAGGTACAGTGTATACCTATTGCTTTTACCCCCCATGATATATTGTACTCCAAAGTTTTCTGCTTGGTAATTAATATGTAGCCATTTCATATTTTTAAGATTCATTCAGACCCGTGGGATCGTTAATTAGTTATTTTTCTGTATTTCCTGAACATTATCACCAAATTATGTCTCTTCTCTTTGCGATCTGCCGCCTGTCTTCTGAGATTTTAGTGTCCTAAGTCACATTTCTTCCTTAAGAATTACGATCAGACACCTTCTCTAGAACTATGTGTGGTCAGTGCATTTATTTAGATTTAGGAGCATGTAATAACCCAAAATGTATTGATTTAATTAATTGGTCAAAACTGTCACCATCTAAATTTTAACTGATGAGTGATATAATTGGAAAAATACTACATAGTAAAATTCCCTATTTGGGGAACTTTAAATGTTTTGAAAAAACTTATACCCATTTATAAAGCATTAGAGTTAAAGAGGGCTTAAGAGATTTCTTGTCCACTCCCTAATTTTATAAATATGCTGCTGAAATAATGTAAAGATCTTGATAAAAGCAACAAAATAGGATCAGATACATCTGGATAAAACATTGCCTTAAACCTCATTTTGATTGCTGCTTGTGCACAAGAGACCATGTCATCATATAGTCTATAATAAAATGTATCAAGAAAGATCCAAATGGCAAGAAATCAAGACAGGGCAGAAAAATGGTTTTAAAGCAAATCCTAAGGTATTATATTGTGGGATCAATAAAATTTCATCCCAATATTCCACACACTTTCATCTTTAGAGAACTACAGTAATTATTCTTGGGTCATTTTTATGTCCCTTGTTCATCAAGGAAAGGTTACATTTTATGGAGCATGGCTGGCAGTCCCTAAGTTATGAATGGGTTGTATATCTGAAGTGTTACTTTGTGGAAAATCATTTTACGATCTGTGCTAATATTGTATGGTCTAAAATAGTCCCAAGATTTGGTTGCTCTGTTTTTGAGCTCTGTGTTTTGCAATTTATTCTGTTTTTTTAAACTTAATTTTTGTAGGCAAGATAGGCATTATTTTAAAGATCAACACATGCTCTAGGTCTGTAAGTATATTGAAGAGATGCATATGTTATCGTAGGACAAATGATCTTGCTAAAGAAAATGATAACTTTGTAGGAATTTTAAAGCAGTTTTGACGTTAAGTATGGAATATACAAATGAACTTTATTCTGTACAATATTCTTATGTTAAATTATATAAATTCCAGATGAAAGGGAAGTCACTATTCATGTAGCAATTTAATAAAATTTCTTATTTTAAAGAAATAAAGGTAATGGGATTTGGGGGTGATGAATAGCTTCAGTAAAGGGTAAACTGAGATTTTATTTATTTAGGAAAAATATTTAATGAAATGCAGAGACTCACAAATGATGATCCTGAAAGCTGGTTGAATGCCATTTCAATTTGGAAAAATCTCCTTGAACTTGATGCAAAAAAGGTAAAACTTTCTCAAAAAAATGCTAACCCACTAAAACGAAAAGTGGGAGAAAATGACATCATCGCTAAGAAATTGAAAACAGCACAAATGCAAGAGATCCAAGAGAGTAAGGAATGCCAAATGGAAAAACAAATAGAAGAAGAAACACCGGAGCAAGGAAGTTTTACCACTAAAAGAGACAAATCTCAAGAACTTCAGAACGATGTAGCAGAAGCAGTTGATACTCATAACCAGAACGACTTAACTTTCAGAGTTTCCTGTCGCTGCAGTGGAGCCATTGCAAAGACCTTTACTGCACAGGTATACTTTCCCCCTCCAGAGTGGGTTACCATTTTCTAAAAGAATTTATTACTCTTTAGATCTAAAAAGAGGTGAAAACCTTTCTCAGAATACATAAACCAGGCCCAGACAGATAACTAGGCCTAATCTCATTTAAGTAAATCTCTTCTAAAAATGCATTTTCCTTCTTAACTGTACCTCAGGTGCTTAAGAGGAATAGTATGCCATTCTATGTAAAGACTTCCTTTTACTTTCTCCCTAAAAGTTTCGTTAAACGGATAGATATCCTTTACATTTGGAAATCCTAATATGGTCTGAAGCTTTTTGGCTTTCTCTGTAGTTCGGTTCTGTGTTTATTGAATTGTTGCTCTGCACCAGGTCCTGCATGTGGGATTGTCCCAGGACCCAGATGCAAATACACAGACAGACGTAAAAGAAGAGCAGAGACCACGAACAGACCCTACAAAGTTCACTAATATAAAGGGCATAAGCCTAGGTCCTTTGGCCAGTCTTAAAATCAGACAGACCGTTAAGTTTGAGCCTAATGCTATTGCTGGTAATTTTTAAACGTACAGGATTGCCATAGCTAAAATAGTTAACCTTTCAGCTTGCATCTGTTTCCTAAAACCCAGAATGACCATATTTATCAGGCCATGATCTGGTTATTTCATGTATCTAAAATTACAAGAATAAAAAAAATAAAAAAATTTTTTAAAAATAAAATAAAATTACAAGAATAAAGATTACATACAAGTAGACGTTAATGCCATAGGATGTGTTGGGGGTGGAAGAGGTAAAAATATACCCTTTTTGCCTTGAGTAGAAAATGCTTTCGTGTGATATTTTAATATTGTAACCTTAAATTACCATCAGATAGTCTGATTGATTTTCCTGCAGACTCTGTTAGTTTTTGCTTACATTTAAACTTAAAATTTTCATTTTTAGTATATTCTTTTCTATAACCTGCTGCTTTTCCAGGAGGTAGGAAGAGTAATTGGAATTGCTCTCATGAAACAGTTTGGATGGAAAGCAGATTTGAGGAATCCAAATTTAGAGGTAATGAATGTTCATCTTATTTTATATGCTTATAACCTAATTCTTTAAAGACGATGCCAACTATTCTTTTTTTAAATTGAAATATAGTTGACATAAAATATTATGTTTCAGGTGAACTACACAGTGATTCGACATTTGCATACATTACAAAATAATCACCATGATAAGTCTAGTAACCATCTGTCCCCATGCAAAGTTATTACAATATTATTGCAATGTCAACAACTTTTATTGTGCTTTTCAATTTTGCTTTAGAGTTTTTAAAAATCATGTCTACATGGATCCAGCAGTCTGTTTCCTCTTTAGCAATAGAATACTGCAGATAATTTTGCTAGTAGTTTTCACTATGAAAATGTCTCATCCAAATAGGACTTTTGGAATGGAATTGTTTAGTCACAGTTAAACTGAACATTTAATATGAGGTTGCAGAGATGCTCTCTATAATCACTATAATAAATAACACGTCTGTATAATAAGAAATTCTAGCTAATGGTAAAAAAAAAAATCGGAAAACAAAAAGGCCAATACAAAGTTAAATAGTGTGTTAATTGTGGCTTTGTTAGGGTTTGGGGATTATTTTTCTTTTTCTCTATTTTCAAAATCAATTTAAGGAGGTTACACAATTTTTAATTAGAACAAAGTAAACACTTACATGGGAAAACAAATTCTAGCTATAACAAATATTCTTCACTATTTTTTGAAAACCATCTCATAAATTTGACCAGTTTAGTCACTTTTATGATTCATTAATTTATAAACTTATTGTTATATAGCTTTAAATGGAGTAATGGCTGGCCAAATCAGAAGATTTTGTGTTGTTTTTCAGTTTTGTTATTTGATATTTTTTGCTTTTAAAAAGTCATGCCTCTTTTATATTCTTTATTGCTGTTATGCAAAATATTTTGACCTCAAGAATGTTTTGACATTTGAAGGAAGGGTGTCTTCCTTTCATCTGCCCCTTTCCACTTTGCTTATCTTCTGCTCTCCTGGTTTCCTCCTCTCCATCTCTCCCTGACTCTATCTCACTGTCTCAGAATTATAGTTTTCTCATAGTTTAGCTCATAACTAAATATATCTAATTTAATTCCTATCATCCATTTAATGCAATTAATAATAGCTATTGGTAGAAATAATCAACACAAAACAAAATTGACAACAGTAGAATCACACATAGTGAAATCCGTGACCAAAATTGACAGAAGAATCAAATCTTAACGAATTTTGTTCTGTACAGTTAATAGAAAAACCTTCATAGTGGGGAAAGCTATACCTGATAACATTTGATATATAAAAATATCAGTATATCATATCTTGAATATAACTTTTAAATAGAAAAGAATTAATCCCAATTAATAGTTTTGCTAAAATGAATAATATAAAAAATTGGAAAGTTTAGCTTCAGTAATCAAGGAATTAAACTGACTAAACGGAGTTCACTCCAGATTATTCTTTTCTTAATAAAAGTTTATCAATATTGGAATAATTCTGATTAAACTATATTAAAATACCTTTGGGGTGAAAGTATCAGGAATCAAATGTTCTTGAGGTCAAACAGCAGAATTAGAATTCCATAAGCCTCATCAGGCTACAGAAGGAGGGTTCTTTAAAATCTGTGTGGGCTACTAATTATAACTTGAGACATTTAAATCCTCATCATGGCCTATCATGACGACTACAGCTGACACTGCTATACAACTTAAAGGAAGGCGGTTAAGAGAGTAAATCCTAGGAGTCTTTATGACAAGAAGTTTTTCCTTTTTCCCCTTCTTTTCCTTTCATCTATATGAGAAGATGGATGTTAGTTGGACCTATTGTGGTAATCATTTCACAATATACATGAATGAAGCCTTCATGCTATATGCCTTAAACATATAGAGTGATATATGTCAATTATTTTTCAATAAAACTGGGGAAAAAAATAACAAGGTAATAGAAGGAAGAAGCTCCCCTATAAATAGTAGGGAGGGGAAAGGTCACCCTTGCTACAGTATATTTGGCTTAAAGAAAGTTTTCTGTTAACCATGGCATCAAGTCTTATTTGAGGCGAGAATTAGGGTAGATTTAGGTAGTTGTCTCTAACCTAAAATGATGAAAAATCTAATTTAGTTAAGATAATTCAAAGAATCACTGGGAAGAAAGGTGACCTTGAGTTCTTCGTAATATGATTCTCAGTATAACTTGTATACAATTTGACCTCAGAATTTTTCTATGAGAAGTACTTAAAATTTACTTTGCCTCTGCTCAGTAAGAAATATTATGGAACATTTTTCTGGATATGACAAAGCCTTGGAATTTCTTATAAAATATAGGTTATATAGGTTCAAAATGGAAGTTTTCAAATTGTTAATCATTTGGTAATGCATTTCCTGTTCCATTTTAACTTCTGTATTTGTTCTTTCAGATCTTTATACATCTAAGTGACATTTACTCTGTGGTGGGAATTCCTGTGTTCAGGTAGATATTGTTTCTAAGTTTCAGGTTTGTTCCTTAGTAGAGTTTGTAAAATTAAGAACTTTGTGCTTTTATTTATAGTATGAAAGAAACATTGATATATCAGAGGGGGCTAAAGGCAAAGCATCTGAGTTCTTTGCTTGAGCCAGTAAAGTGTTTTCACGGAGCTTAGTAGATATGATCTGATCGGACTAGAGCTGTGAAAGATTTGATCACAATAACCCACTGATTACATGATTCATACTGAAAATCATATCTAATTATTTCTATTATTAAATGATTTTCACAGGCCCATATTTAAGCTAAAATTTTTAGTCTGTTGGCCTCTTGGATTTTTTTTATTAAAGTAGAAAATACAACACAGTACTTAAAAGTCACCTTAGGGCTTCCCTGGTGGTGCAGAGGTTGAGAGTCCGCCTGCCGATGCAGGGGACACGGGTTCGTGCCCCGGTCTGGGAAGATGCCACATGCTGCGGACCGGCTGGGCCCGTGAGCCATGGCCGCTGAGCCTGCGCGTCCGGAGCCTGTGCTCCGCAATGGGAGAGGCCACAACAGTGAGAGGCCCGCGTACCGCAAAAAAAAAAAAAAAAAAAAAAAGTCACCTTAAACATTCTTCAAATTTTACTGCAGTTCTTTTCTTGTGGGAGAGTAATTCCAGTTTTTAAAATCTTCAGGTTTTCTCTCTAGTTACGTTGGGTACTATACAATAATAAATGCAGTTGATTCCTTTTCTTATTCAGAAATACTTATTGAACGCTTATCGTACGACAGGTCCTTTTTCTAGATGCTTTGGGAAGAAAGAGCTGGTTGGATAATGGAAATAGGGATTTTCAGTTTGTTGGGAACATGTGAATATTGTTGGCATCTTCAAAACATTTTATATGCAAAGCCCTGTTTACACAGTATAAGGTGATTTAGATACCCTTTCTCTAGGTGATTCTAGGCATGGAATGTTTTTAAAATCCTAAAAGTGCTATGGGAATACCTCACTTACCCTAAACTCACATTTGTGCATGTGTAAGCCTGAATCAGGATGTAAAAAGGAATGCTGAAGGTCATTGTAATAGCTTTTATCAAATGGTGCACCATAGCAGTTGATTAACACAATACGGAGAACACTGTAGATGTTCAAGAAGTGTTGAATGATTGAGTTCCACTGTGTGCTAGTTGTAGGCTACCCTATAGGTTAGGCCCCACTAGCCTCTAGATTACAAAAATCATGCACCCAATAATATTTCTTGTCACCTCAACACACACGAGGTCATCACATGCCTCAATGTCCTGTTGGTTTCCCTTGGCCCCCACCTACCCCAGTAGCCTACCAACTCTCCCAGACGAAACCTAACCCACTGTTTTATACCTACACCTACAACGTGTCCAGGCTGCCCTACTCCAGTGCCTTTTGAAGTCCCAGGCCCTAACCCCTGCAGAATATTTGTAAAACTTTTTTTTTTTTTTTTTTTTAGCAATTTTGCCTACCATGGGTTTTTTTAATTTTATAATAGTCAACAGGAAAGGTGGGAGAAACTGAAAGATGGCCACATTTCAACCTAGTGTAATTATTGATAGTCACCAAGACAAGGGTAAGGAAGACTAGTAAGACAGTAAAATATGAAATATATTTTTAGAAGGATTCATAAAGCAGCTAAATATTCTTTAACACTTTGGCCCCTAAAAGGGTGAGCTTAAGTGTCTAGAATATTGATTTATAAGGAACATTTCATCCCCAGCAGGGCTGACTGATGCAGTATGAATGTATTTAGATTTTTGGCACCAAATAAAAGAACTCATTTTTAATTTGTAATCATATATAAAAATGCTAACTTTCATGCTCTTTTATTATTAACTTAGCAAATATACATATACATAAGTTTTTATATGTGTTTTTCAAAGGTGTACAATTTTATTTAATGCTTGTTAGACACCCTCAAGAAATCATGCTTATGGCATCTCAAGTAATGACTGGTAATTTAACCTAAAAGTTGACAAATAAAAGGTATGTATCTGAAAATTAAGGCTCAGACCCTGAATGAGCAGTGGCTGAAAATAAGATTGCATTAGATGCTCTGTGATTAGTCTGTTTCACTACCTCAGCGAAGGAAGGAAGCAATCACGAAGTGTGTTGATTAAAACAGTTCGCCATTGTGTGAGGCAAGGGAGGCATATGAAGAACTGAAAAGCAGATAGCGGTGGACAAGAGAAGTGATGGTGGAGGTCAGAAACTGTAACCTGGTGACCCTGACAAGAGAAGAAAGTCAGAAGTGCTGGAACAGAGGACAGAGCAGCCATCGAGTTTGAGGGACACACAAAAATGTGTATCTTAGTAGCACATCACCTGGTACACTAAGCATAGTGGATAAGAACCATGGACTTCAGTTCCTCCTTCTCCACAAAATAACTCTGTGAGTCGGGGCATATTACCACGTTCCTCTGCTATAAAATCAGGAAAAGGATGGTATCTACTTCCTAGCTTTGTAGTTGGGATTAAATGAGATAACACATACGAAAATGAGATAACTGCTTTTATGATACAGTAAGTGGTGAATAAATTTCAACTATTCTTATTTATTCAACTATTCTATTTTTAAACAGATCAGCAACTAGGGAGGGAATTTACCAGAGTAAGATTAATTCATTCAATTAATTTCAAGTGAAATTATCTAATGAGTACTTACTCTGTGCTAAGCATTGTGCTACATATCCAGTGTTCAAAGATGAGTAAGATTAACCTATACACTATAATTACACTAGGTTATTAAACACAAGGAATTCACTCTAGTGGGAGAACAGATATGTGGTCAGTGCTTGATTGGAATTAGAAAAGAGGACCTAACTGATGGAGGACAGGTGAGCAAAAGAACACAGAAGAATATTGCTCAGTGTATCACTTAAATGGAGAATAATAAGCAAGGATATCTCAAGTGGACAAGAGAAGGAAAGGATCTTACAAGCAAGGAACTGCATGTGCAGAGGCATGGAGGTGTGAGGAGGCTTGAGGTACATGGCGGACAGCAAGTAGTCTCGGTATAGATGGGACAGGGAGTGCATAGGGAGAGTGGTGGAAAAGGAGACTGAGGATTGGGAACGAGTCATGAAGTGTCTTATAAGCCGGGTTAAATAGCTTGAATTTTATTCTAAAAGCAGTAAGAATTTGAAGCAGAAGAGTGTTGTGATTAGGTTTGTGATTTTTAAAAAATTACCAAGGAAATTATATTTTAAAGTGGAAGGGAAATAAAAAAGGGGGGGTTTAAACTCTTATACCGGTTCAGGCAATGAATGATGAAGAAATGAACTAAGGCAAAGTTGGGGGTAATAAAAAGGAGGCCGTGCATTCAAGAAAATGTTAGGGAGTCTAGAATAACTTCCAGATATCTGATTTTGGCAACCAAGAGACACTGGTGTCAGTCACTGAGGTATAAAATATGGGGAAAGGAAGTTGTGTGCGTTCAGTGAAACATGTCCAAGTAGATACTTAAAGTTGTAGCTCTGGAGTTCAGGTGACAAGTCTCAGCTGGAGGTGTAGATGAGATTACCCAATACATAGATGGTAAGTGGCCTAAGGAAATGAAGACGTATATCAAGACAGTAAATACAGGGAAAGGAGAGTGTACTTAGTTTATATCTTTAAATTTTGCAGTACTTAAAGAACCTCCAGGTAAAAGATGTCCAAATACACATTTGAAGATAAAGATCTGGGAATCAAGGGACAAATCTAGGCTAGAGAGATGTAGCTGAGAATGTCTTCAACTTGCTGATAGACGGTGTGTAAGAGAAAAAAGAAGAAATGTATGTAAGATCAAAAACCACCTTTATTTATTTTCTTAACATCTTTATTGGAGTATAATTGCTTTACAATGGTGTGTTAGTGTCTGCTTTATAACAAAGTGAATCAGCTGTACGTATACATATATCCACATATCTCCTCCCTCTTGCGTCTCCCTCCCACCTTCCCTATCCCACCCTCTAGGTGGGCACAAAGCACCGAGCTGATCTCCCTGTACTATGTGTCTGCTTCCCACTAACTATCCGTTTTACATTTGGTAGTGTATATATGTCCATGCCACTCTCTCACTTCGTCCCAGCTTACCCTTCCCCCTTCCAGTGTCCTCAAGTCCATTCTCTATGTCTGCGTCTTTATTCCTGTCCTGTCCCTAGGTTCTTCAGGACCTTTTTTTTTTTTTTAGATTCCATATATATGTGTTAGCATATGGTATTTGTTTTTCTCTTTCTGACTTACTTCACTCTGTATGACAGACTCTAGGTCCATCCACCTCACTACAAATAACTCAATTTCATTTCTTTTTATGGCTGAGTAATGTTCCATTGTATATATGTGCCACATCTTCTTTATCCATTCATCTGTCGATGGACACTTAGGTTGCTTTCGTGTCCTGGCTATTGTAAATAGTGCTGCAGTGAACATTGTGGTACATGACTGTGTTTGAATTACGGTTTGCTCAGGGTATATGCCCAGTAGCAGGATTGCTGGGTCATATGGTAGTTCTATTTTCCGTTTTTTGGGGTTTTTTTGTTTTTTTTGTTTTGTTGTTGTTGTTGTTTTGCCGTACGCAGTCCTCTCACCGCTGTGGCCTCTCCCGTTGCGTAGCACAGGCTCCAGACGCGCAGGCTTAGTGGCCATGGCTCATGGGCCCAGCCGCTCCGTGGCATGTGGGATCTTCCCGGACCAGGACACGAACCCGTGTCCCCTGTATTGGCAGGCGGACTCTCAACCACTGCACCACCAGGGAAGCCCCTAGTTTTAGTTTTTTAAGGAACCTCCACACTATTCTCCATAGTGGCTGTATCAATTTACATTCCCACCAACAGTACAAGAGGGTTCCCTTTTCTCCACACCCTCTCCAGCATTTATTGTTTGTAGATTTTTTGATGATGGCCGTTCTGACCAGTGTGAGGTAATACCTCATTGTAGTTTGGATTTGCATTTTTCTAATGACTAGTGATGTTGAACACCCTTTCATGTGTTTGTTAGCAATCTGTATGTCTTCTTTGGAAAAATGTCTATTTAGGTCTTCTGCCCATTTTTCAATTGGGTTGTTTGTTTTTTTGATATTGAGTTGCATGAGCTGCTTGTAAATTTTGGAGATTAATCCTTTGTCAGTTGCTTCATTTGCAAATATTTTCTCCCATTCTGAGGGTTGCCTTTTCATCTTGTTTATGGCTTCCTTTGCTGTGCAAAAGCTTTTAAGTTTCATTAGGTCCCATTTGTTTATTTTTGTTTTTATTTTCATTTCTCTAGGAGGTGTGTCAAAAAGGATCTTGCTGTGATTTATGTCATAGAGTGTTGTGCCTATGTTTTCCTCTAAGAGTTTGATAGTGTCTGGCCTTACATTTAGGTCTTTAATTCATTTTGAGTTTTTATTTTTGTGTAAGGTGTCAGGGAATGTTCTAATTTCATTCTTTTACGTGTAGCTGTCCAGTTTTCCCAGCACCACTTATTGAAGAGACTGTCTCTTCTCCATTGTATATTCTTGCCTCCTTTATCAAAGATAAGATGACCATATGTGCGTGGGTTTATCTCTGGGCTTTCTATACTGTTCCATTGATCTATATTTCTGTTTTTGTGCCAGTACCATACTGTCTTGATTACTGTAGCTTTGTAGTATAGTCTGAAGTCCGGAAGCCTGATTCCTCCAGCTCCATTTTCCTTTCTCAAGATTGCTCTGGCTATTCGGGATCTCTTGTGTTTCCATACAAATCGTGAAATTTTTTGTTCTAGTTCTGTGAAAAATGCCATTGGTGGTTTGATAGGGATTGCGTTGAATCTGTAGATTGCTTTGGGTAGTAGAGTCATTTTCACAATGTTGATTCTTCCAATCCAAGAACACAGTATATCTCTCCATCTGTATGCTCGTTAATTTCTTTCATCAGTGTCTTATAGTTTTCTGCATACAGGTCTTTTGTCTCCTTAGGTAGGTTTATTCCTAGGTATTTGATTCTTTTTGTTGCAGTGGTAAATGGGAGTGTTTCCTTAGTTTCTGTTTCAGATTTTTCATCATTAGTGTATAGGAACACAAGAGATTTCTGTGCATTAATTTTGTATCCTGCTACTTTACCAAATTCATTGATTGGCTCTAGTAGTTTTCTGGTAGCATCTTTAGGATTCTCTTTGTATAGTTTCATGTCATCTGCAAACAGTGACAGTTTTACTTCTTTTTCCGATTTGGATTCCTTTTATTTCTTTTTCTTCTCTCATTGCTGTGGCTAAAACTTCCAAAACTATGTTGAATAATAGTGGTGAGAGTGGACAACCTTGTCTTGTTCCTGATCTTAGAGGAAATGGTTTCGGTTTTTCACCATTGAGAACAATGTTGGCCATGGGTTTGTCATATACGGCCTTTATTATGTTGAGGTAAGTTCCCTCTATGCCTACTTTCTGGAGGAAAAAACACCTTTATTTTTGTACTAAGGTAAAAGCCAGCTAAACTCTGATTAAACACATCAGCGGATTTTACAAAAGTAGGGAATTATTTTTATTTTCAAGGAGTTTATTTCTGAACACTTCTTTCCCCCGAATAATTTTATTTTTACTGACATAATGAGGCTGTTTTGTTGAAGTAATAGCAGATTAGTTTTGCCCAAGGTTAAGCAAAATAAGAATGTGTTCACTTTTGTCACATACTAATAGAATTGGCTTCCATAAAATAAAACCTCTAGTAGTAAAAATATGCACATAATGGCTAAAAATTTAAAGGTTCTACATAAATCTCTGATGCTTAGAAAAGCACTTTGCAATATATATGGACAAAGACAGTTTTCCATACCAATTCTCGCACTCTCTCTCTCTCTCTGTTTGTTTCTAGAGTGAAAATAATCTCTTCATTTTGGTTTTAACTAATGTGTTTTGTAGCAAGATAATTGCTGCACTTAACCTGCAGAAGCAAGATTCATTGATCAAAATATTTTATAGTCTTTCTACCTGCAAAGTTTATATCCCAGATTCCAAATCTGTGGATATAGTACTATTTACAATGTGAATTTTTATTTCCTGAAAAACCTTTTAAGAGGGAAAAAAACACAACTCTCATGGGTTTACCATATAGGGCTTCCTCATAATAGTAAATATGCAATTATACTGTTTTATTTGATAAGGTATTTATAATTACCTCATTTCATTCTAAGATCTTAAGAGGCTTGCAGTAAATACACAAAAAACAGGATAACTTAAAGTCAAAGAAAGAGCAGAAATAAAATGATGAAAGGAAATAGGGTTTGGAAAACACTGTGGCTTTGTGTAATGTTAGTAGAAGAGCCCCTTAGTGGCTTTGGAACAAGCCTATCCCCAAAACAACCAGGCACTGATTCTTGAAATCATACCCGTAATGTCTTACCAACAAATTGTATACATGAAATAGAAAAGTGCATTGATATTTCCAAGGAAATGCTTGTTCTTTGCATTAGAAATATAAAAATAATTTTCTGAAAATTTGTATCAAATCTGGAAACACCGGTAGTAGCAATGATTAGGTATAAAGTGTAAAGTGATACATAATGGAGACCAGTGAACTCATTGGGGAGATGTCTGCTTCAGCCCTTCATTCGATAAATTATCTTAGGCAATGCAATGTCATGCTTCATTCCATCTTTCGAGAAAGATGCAAATGAGCAAAAAGCAAACTTACAAAAGGGACCTTTTAGAAAACATATTTCAAGGGTTATCATCCATTCAGCCCTGCTTCCTATACTACATCTATATCACAATGCAGTCTGTTCCCCTTGATGACTCCAGATCAGCAAGGCAAGGTCTAGTCCGTGTGGGAAGTCAGGGAAGTATATAAACACTTTAGGAAGATTTCCCTCATGTGATTAAATCTTTATAAGTTAAACACATAATGGTTTAAATTTCACTTATCTAAAAAATTTACCTTTCTGAAATACCACGCTGGCTGGTTAGACAAGGTGCCAATTAGAGAAGGTAATTTTGTAATAAGGTTAAATATTCTCTAACAGGAAGTACTTTAGTGCATGTTGTATGAACTTGTTAAAATGAGGTACAGATATGAATGGGTTAATTATTTTTGTTTACATCATATTCTTTAACATACAGTAATATTGGGTGTTCTTTTCTTTTAGGGTTCCTTTAGCCAGCAGAGCTTACATCAAGACAGCAGGACTGAGATCTACCATAGCGTGGGCAATGGCCTCTCTCGCAGAAATTAAGGTAAGGAAACTGTTCTCATTCTTATTAATGTAATAGCAAGGTCCTTTCCATAATTAACTTACACAGTCTCTTATTGAGAGTCATCTTTTCTCTTTAGTTCTTCTAACCTTTTTTTTTTCTTTTTCTTTTCTTGCCATTACTCTTACGAACTGCAGTTGGATATGTTTTTATGTACTGTTGAACTTCTGAGAGTATTTTGGCTATGAAAAAGCGGAGTCAAAAGATAGCTCCATTTTATTATTCCTAATTTTTTGTCACAATCACGTGGCCTGTACAACCTCTACTTCTTAAAATTTAACCAAGATCTTGATCAGTTTTTGTAAATATTCCATGGACATAAGAAAATAATTTTATTTTCTAGTCAAGCGATGGCCTTTATATCTTTACTTACTGTTTTACTATCTGCTCAGTTCTGAAAGAGGTATTTTGAAATTTATTAGGTTATTACATTTTTTTAAGATTTTGCCTTTTTATTAGTTGTTACCTCATTCAGCTGCTGTGTAGTTTGGTTTATACTCTTTTATGAATGTTACTGCTTCATTGTGAAGTGTGCCTCTTTCTTGTTATTAAAGTTTTCATTATCTTGATTTGGAAGTTTAAATTTAAATTTCACCATGTCTTATTAATATTTTCACTGTTTTCTTTCTCTTTGCATTTTCCTTTGTAGTAGTTCTTTGACACCGCTTTATTTTCAACTTGGTTTTCAGTGTGTTTTTTTTTATAAACACAGAACTCTGTTTTTATCCCACTCTGATAGGCTCTGTCTTTCAATGAGAGTATTCAGTATTATGATAGATACACCTGATTGCATTCCTCCTGTTTTATTCCGTTTGTAACTTCTTACAGTTTATTCTTTATTTTTGCTAATTTAAGCAAGTTAATCATTTCACTGTTCTCTCTGAGGTTGGATTTTACTTTATGTTCTATTCCATTAGTGGCTCCCTCTCCCAGCTCTCTTAATTAAACACATGGGACTCGATTGATCCTAACTTTACAACAAGACATCAACTCTTTTCTTTGCCAAGACACTGTTTTTACCACCAGGACAATCTAATCTTCCCCACTCTGTCCCCTCTTCCCTATCATAAGCTGAGACCTCCAGGGAACTTGTGTCTCTTCTGCCCCACAGAATTACTCCTCCCTACAATGAGACCTTTGAAACATTTTCCCCCCTTCCACTCCCAACTCCCAACTACTGGATTGAACTAAATTATTTATTATGTATCAGAATTTCCCTTAACGCATGACCCTCTGTTTCAGAAGTTCTTATTCTGCACTTATATTACACAGCCTATCCTTAATCATTAAGAGGTAATGTGTGTAACATGCACGTTGCTGTATAAACACACAAAGATATACTGTGAGGTGCATTGCTCCTCGCCTTTGTTCTTCACTTTGAGGCCTTGGCTCAGGTTTCTTTGTTGCTTGGTTAGTCTTTTCTTAGCTACTTTCCCCAAATGTGGTATTGAGGAATATACTGTCTGGATTCCTATATATCCTCAAGCTTCTTCCTGTCAACCTGGGTATCGCCACTTTGGCTAGGTATAAGATTCTTGAGTTGCAGTCCTTTTCTCTCAGAGGTCTGTCGATGCTCTTCCATTGTCTTTTCACTTCTGGTGTTCTAGATGAGCAGCTCACGCCAGTGTGATTTTTCTTTTCCATTATGCCTGTCTTGTCCTTTCTGCTTGCAAGCTTATGAGAGTTTTCTCTTTAATCATCTAAAGTTCAGGAATATCACCCGGATGTAAATATGTATGTAAGAGTCTTTTCTATTCAACCCAGAACTCGGTGAGTCTGAGTGAGTTCTAATTCTGGCTCTACCACTTACTGGCTGGGAAACTTTACGTAAGATAACTTAACATCTCTGTGCCTAAGTTTCTCATTTGCAAGATGAAAATAATAATCTCACAGGGTCATGTGAGGACTAAGTGAATTAGCATTTATCAAATGATGGAACAGTGCCTAGCATATAGAAAGTATGTAAGTGTTGACTTCTGCTATAGTAATGTCGGGGAGGTGAAGACTTCCCCCCTACCCCTCTTGAGTTCTTTTGGCTGGGCTAATAATTAAATTGACACAAGACAGAGTAATAGGAGGAAAAAAAAATTTTAATTCTTATGCATGGAAGTCTCATAGAAATGGGACCCCTGAAGTGACCAAAGCATGCTGTTTATGTATTATTTTTAGACAAAGAAACAATTATTTGTGAAGATTTAATGAAACAAAGGGGCTTGTGCTTGTAGTAGCAGACGAATGAAGAACTAACAAAGTTTGTTTATACAGCTTTCTTAGCCTTCAGTTCCCTAACTCTGGTGATAAGGATGCTTTCTACCTCCTCCCAGTAGTGGGAGGATACCTTCACAAGGGAGATTTAGTTCCTGCTTTCAGGGGGAAAGGTGGTGATCAGAGTGTCGTCTTCTTTCTTTCTTTCTTTGTGAAGATCACTTCTTTTTACTGGCTGTTTCTCAAGTAACTTTAATTCAAGATAATCAATATGCCATTGAAGCATATTTTGGGGTGGCCTGCCCTGGACCCCAACAGTAATAATAATCATAGTTATAATAATTATTATTTGGAATTTATAATGATAAAAAAAAATTTTTTTCCTCCACCTCAGGCACTCTTTCATGCATTATTTACTTATTATTTCCTCAATTATTTTGCTTTAGTGTCTTTAACCTTAAACCACTTCCTTTTTCCTGCTTCTGGAATTCCTGTGATAAACACGTTAAGCTTCCTTTCTCACATGCTCTCCATCTCTTTATATTTCGGCTCTGCGTTTTGAGTTATTCTTGGAAACTAGAACAAGAGTCACAAAGATGTGCTCTACTTTATTTATTGAAATGTTTAGCTTTAAAATCATGGTCTTTTTTAGCTTTGGAAAAATGTGTGTGTGCATGCTATATTTGCTATCTCTAGAAGCTCTTACTTTTTTTCACATGTTTATCTGTTCCCTCCAAAAGTTTCATTTCACTAGATGTGTGTTCTGTTTGCTCTATGTTCTCTCTAGGTTTTGAGGGACCTCCTCCCCTTAGATGTGTCATTATTTTCCTTTGTTGCCTCACTGGGGCTCAAGTGTGGTTAGTAAAGTATTTTAAATGCCTGGAATCCTGTAAGTGGTAAAAGGCAAATGGATCTCTGGCCCCCCTGGGTTTGGTAGTATAAGGAGACTGTCAGCCATGCTCAGGCACTCAGTGAAAACTTTCCTATGCACTAGTCTCCCTGCAGGTCCACAGATCTCTGAAGACCAGGTTTTTCCCTGATTCCAGTGATTTCCCCTCTGGGTTCCAGTGCTGGTCTCTAATCACCCACCCAGCCCATGGCAAGGAGACCTCATACTGGTTCCTTCTCCTGGGACCTCAGCAGAGCCCAGGGCATCGCTTAGCACCAGTTGCCTGTAGTTCTGAGCATCACTTGCCTCAGAAGTAAGTAGCTCAGAGTTGAGAGAAAAAGAAGAGAGCTATTTCCATATTACCACGTTCCCAGAATCCATGATTTTCTTTTTTATTTGATTTAAATCTTTAGCCTAAATTTCTTTTAGTTAGGAGAGAGGGATATGGTAACAGTTTATTTTTTCCCAAACTTCCAATGATGTCACCACAGTTTATATTTACATATAAATTTATATAACCACCTACAAATTTGAAATGTTACCTCTATCTGATATAAACATACAATTTTCAGAAATATAGAAAGTAAATGATCGAAAATATCCACAGATAATACTCAATGAAATTTTTCCCTTTTGTCAGTTTGTCCTGCTAGGACCGAAAGTAAAAATTGTTTCTCTAATGTGACCATCAACAAAGAAGGTCTGTTAAAATAGGTGAGAAATAGCACAGCAGGTTTCTTTTGGGGGGAATGCAGTGATGACCCACCACGTAAGTGATCCCAGTATCCAGCATTGATCCAGGCCCTTCTTTGGAGCTTGGTACCCAGAGCAGTGCACAAGCAGCTCAACCTCAGGTAGGCCAGTGCCACAAAAAATGAAACTTAAGTCTGGGGTCGTTAGATATTTTTCATGTTTACTATAAACTGTTCTTCCTATATATCATAACAAGTAAGGAAAAGCAAGTTCTATAAATCTCAGTTATTCTTTTAAGCATATGGAAATACTTCTCTGCTTCTGCCTGTGTACCCAAATGTCATGGATAGAAAAGGTCCTACAGTAAAATAGACATTGAAAGATACTTAAGGTCAAATTACCTCATTGAACAGGGACCATGGGGGAGAAAGAACACAGTGTTTGGCACATTTTAAGATCTTAATAAAGATTAGTTCTCATACCACTATTAATCTTAAAGTTGCCATTTAAATCCTTATGCTTTTTGTTACACTCTGCCCCATCATGGGGGACCCATGTGATACTCTCCATAATTTCGTGCCAGGAGAAAGTCTCTCTCTCTCGAAGGACATTTTGTTTCTTTCCATCAGGTACCCCCTAGCTCTGACTGAAACCTGGCTGTCCTCTGAGCGTTCTGCCTCCTCTATAGACAGACCAAGGGACCGCTGGGCCTGGAGGTGGGATAGGTGTCCTGCTTGGCCTCGTCGCCCCTTCTGCCCCAGATCTCTCACTGCCTTAGAAGCGCATGCCATCAGATTATCCCGGTGTCTACAGATCTCTTCCTATCTTTTCTGTAATGGTTTAGACCATTTCTCCTGTCGTAACTCTTTAGGACCTCAGTGTCCACTGTGTAGTCTGATCCCTTAGTGTCTTGGCTTCCCTACCTCTAACGATCTGCCTTAGTCACATCCTAGACTTTGTCATACCCAGAAGGGTATACCTTCCAAAATCTCAGATTCAAGAATCCTGCTGTTAACCTTCTCTTTCCCATTCACTTCCTCTTGGGCCCTAAAGCAGTTCTTTAACTCCATGGGACCTCTAGTAGGTGACCCTACTCACCACCTGTCCTCAGCCCCCTTTCACAGCTTGGATTTTATGTTCTATCATTACAGCCATTTCTTGACCATACTTTGAATTCTCTTCTTAATTGACTTAAATATTGGAATCAGAAGAGAACTTTAACATGTTCTTCCTACCAAGTTTACCAACATCTTGGAATCTACGCCCTCATACTTTGCCTTGTCTTCATTATAATAAATGAACTGTCCTTGTTTCACTCCGTTACTTGTGTACTGGATTCCATTCCCTCTTGCCTACTTGAGGACTTTTTTCTCTACTAGGTCATTCCCATCAGCATGTACACATTCCCATTAGCATGTACACATCTTGCAACTTAGAAAAGAATTAACCCTCTCCTCAACCCACATGCTCCATCAGCTACCACCCCTCCTCTGCTTCCCTTTACAGAAAAACTTCAAACTAGTTGTCCATATTTGGTGTCTACTTTTTCTTTTCCCACTCTTTCTTGTGCCCACTTCCCTCAGGTTCTCATCGCCAACAGTCCACTGAAACAGCTCATCTTGCTTAATCTACTAGCATGTGGACACTGTCATCACTCCTTCCTGAAATGGGTGTTTCCACTTTGTTTCAGGACCACTCTAGGTTCTATGTCAGGATGTGCTGCCGTCAGTGTGCACTGCTGTACTTAGGAGATCACCGGTGTCCGGCCCATAGACTGTTCTTTTCTAACTTCTCTTGCTTCCTAGATGGCTTATCCAGTTTTGATGCTTTAAATACCATTTACAAACTAACAACCACGGTTCCCAAATTTATATCTGTGGCCTGAACCTCTCCTCTGAACTCCAGATGCTTAAGTCCACTTGACATCCATGCTTGGTCTAAGAGGTATCTCAAAATGAACATGTCCAGAACTATACTGTTGTCTCCTTTGTAGCTTTTCCTCCCCAACACTTCCCAGCTCAGTAACAGGCAGCTCGTCTTCCTGATGCTCAGGTCAAAAACTTCAGTCACTTCAGACCGTTGTCATTCTTTAACATGCCACATGCAATCCATCCTGTTGGTTCTGCCTTTAAAATATACCCAGAATCCAACTAATTCTCCCCACTTCCACCAGCGTCACTCTTTATTCAAGCCACCGTTACGTCTGCCTGGATTCCCTAACTAGCCTCCCTGTAACCCTCTTGCCCTTCTGTGATCCGTTCTCAACAGAGCAGCTAGAATGATCCCTTTGAAATGTAACATCGTGTTACTCCTGCTTAGTTTCCCTCCAACAGCTTCCCACCCTTCAGCATAGAACCAGACCCCTTGTAACACCTACGAGACCTGACGTGATGCAGCCCCACCCCAGCCCCACTGCCCAGATGGGAGAGTTCTTAGTTTTTTCTCCACATTTCCTGTTCTCCTCAGGTGCAGATCGGATGACACTTTCCTGGCCCCTTCAAATTGTGTGTGTCATGTGACTGACATGCTTTCCCCAATTAAATGTTGGTGGAAATGATGTATGTCACTTCCAGATGGCACCTTTAAAAGCCAGTGCCTGATTTGTCTTGCTTTCTTTCCCTCTGCCACAGTGGTGGCCGTGCTCCAGGTGGCGACCACTTCACTGTCTGACTTGCTGAGTGAGGAGCAGAAGCCCCAGGTGTCATTCTGTGGGCTTGGAGCCTGAGCTACACAGTGTTTTCAACCTGTAGGACTTGGTGGCTGTGACTGCACACGGTGTAAGGCAGCCCATCTTGATGGAGTAGTCTGGCCACCTCTCTGACGTAATCACCACCTTTCCCCTCGCGCTCACTGTGCTTTGGCCACACTGGTTTCCTTCCTAATCTTTAAATGTGTCAAGCATACCTGCACTAGGGATTTAACTACCTGAAATTCCTAATAAAGTACAGAAAGGAGTCTTTACTCTGAAATATTGATTCCTCAAGTGTTAGGTTTCTTTTATAATACCTATTATAATAGATTTAATGATAGCAAATCAACATTTCTGTCTATAGGCTGGTGCAGTTGTTCTAGATCCAATGTGTGGACTTGGAACAATACTTTTGGAAGCTGCTAAAGAATGGCCAGTAAGTTCTAAAGTTTGGTAAACCAGGCAATGTCTTCCGTTAATCAGTGTGTGTGTGTATTCACTTACCAATTATTTACAGGTAGACTGTCTATTTAGGGATTATTTTTTAATTATACAAGTTGCTATATAACTGTAATAAAAATAGACTATGAAGGGTTAATTAAATTGCTGTTATTTCTTTAAATACTGTGATAAATTTAGGAAAATATGATAGAAATGCAATAATTAGTCATGACCTAGATTATATAAATCCCTAAATTCCTTAGACATTTGTAATTGTAAAATATTATTAACAGTTTTTAAAATTTTAACAAAAACTTGTTTTTTGCCCATGAATGTCATTTTAAAGAAATATTCTAAATTTGTTTTAAGCTGAGTTAACAAATCTATTAATTTCATTTTCCTCATTGAAAATGCAAGTAGATTCTCTTAACTACATAAAATATGGGTTTATTTATACTTATAATATGAATTTCTTCCCTCACAGGATGTGTATTACGTGGGTGCTGATGTCAGTGACTCACAGTTACTAGGTGCATGTGACAATCTGAAAGCTGCAGGCCTTAAGGATAAAATTGAGTTACTTAAAGTCTCTGTGATAGGTAAGATATTAAAAATGCAAACATTTGGGGTAAATGAACATTTGCAAATACATTTAGAATCATAATATAAAACAAGACTCACTTTTCATATATAAAGGTTGAATTGTTTATACCCTGTAATATATCTGTGGCGCCAATACTCAGTTTACTTCCAATATGATAATTGTAACTTTTTAATTCTTCAAATGATTCATGATCAGGAACGGTATTTATGTAGTTTCCCTAAGCATGTAAGTAAAAGCATGCCTTCTTAAGATGTGTTTGTTGCATCTGAACCATTTCTCACATCATAACCAGGGATCACTTAGTATAGGCATAAACTAAACAGAATAATAATAATAGCTCTGTGGATTCTTTCAGATAAAGTATATGAAATGTTTTGAATTACCTTACCTTCTCCTTGCCTCATTGGACAGTATTCATGTGATATAGGGAGTGAGGTGACCAACTATCCCAGTTTGCTAAACCAGTACTACTTTCAGGGCTAAAACTGGGAAAGTCTGGGGCAAACCAGGACAATTGGTCACCCTGTGAGGTAGAGGGAAACCATTACTCCCAGTAATTCCACTGATGCGGAATCAACAGCAAGAAACATGATGAGGAATCGAGTCTGTGGAGTCCAAAATAATATTTCCCTAAGGCCCAAGGTATTTAGACTGTTTGAGAGAAGCCTCACCTTCCTTCTTTTTTTCCCTTAGTGCACCTTTCTCCCTTAAAAGTCACCACATTTAATTCCCAGCTAAGAAAATCGTATTCTCTTGACATGAGAATGAGAGAATAGGTGGTGGGTAAGTCCCAGTATTGAATCTGTAATCTAGAGGAACAGAATATTGTTTAAACAAATTTTTATTATTGTAGAAAAGTAGTAGAGATGAGTTATTAACAAGAAAAAAATATTAGGATAACTTTTATATAAATGCATAATAAAGCAGCGTCAAAGAAGAAACTGTACTATTGATTGAGATCTCATAGTTGTTTGCTATCAATGACTAGCTTTTCAACCTTTCTGTCAAGGTTTTTAATGGGACTCTGTGCATAAGACACAATTTTCTAGAGGAAGCCAAGGGGTGATTAGACTGAAATCAAGTTTTCATATACCCTAATTTCTTTAATAAAGCTATTTTTTTGAGACCTCAAGAAAAACAGAATAGCTCTATAAGTTGTTCCAGAGCAGTGGTTTTTCATACCCTGTACAATCTCCAAAGTGCCTTAACAGCATGAGGAAGGAAGTACTGATTTGCCCATCAGAACGTTGCTGCGCTCCCAACTCCACTTTCATCAGTTCTCATGCTTGGGGCATTTCCCATAAGATTTCACTTTAAAATCAAGTACAACTGCTCAACTGTTATTAAAAAAAATTTTTTTTTTTAAGAAGAAAGTTCTCTAGGACACCAAATAGCCAAATAAATCCTACTTTTTTAAAAGATCACTCTAACTGCTGTGTTAAGAAGAGACAATATTAGGGCAAGGATTGGAACAAAGAGACTAGTTACAAGACTATTGCAATAATCCAGGTAAGAAATGGTGGTGGCTTGGGGCAAAGTGATATTGGTGGAGGTGTTAAGTAGAGGTCAGAGATATGTATATATATTTTCTGAAGGTAGAACCAACAGGATTTGCTGGTGGATTAAATATAAGCAAAAGAACAAGGATGACTGAGCTTTCTGACTTGAGCAGCTAGAGGGTGGAGTTGGGGAAAACTGCAGGCGGAACAAGTTGGAGTTTGGGGCCTGTTCAGTTCCACGTGATGATCAGACACCACATGGAGAAGATGTTAGTGTAGTAGGTCAGTATACAGACCTGGAGTTTCTTAGGGGAGAAGAGAGACATCACTAGTATAGATAACATTTAAATCCATGAGATCACCTAGGAAATAAGTACAAATAGAGAAAAGAGAGGCTTTCTCTGAGGATGAGATGCTTAGAGTTCTGGAGGGTGAGAATCTAGTAAAGGGACAACCAGTGATGAGAAGGTAAGAGAGAATCTGAGGAAGAACCATCAGCTGTGTCAGATGCTGCTGGGCGGTGAAGCAAAATATGGCCTGGCTGTTTCCGTGGAGCAGCGGGAACATAGACCTGCCTGCCTGAGTGGGTTCCGGAGAGAATGGGGGAAGGTAGCCTGCAGAAGGCTGGTCCTGGTCGTTCTTTTGGACAGTTTGACTGGTAAGGGGAGCAGAGAGATGGGGCAGTAATAGAAAGTGGTGAGATTAGGGATCAAGCAGGGATTTTCTGAAGATAGAAGTTACTTTTTTAAAAAAGTACATGTTCTTATGCTAAAGAGAATGAACAGATAAACAGGAGAAACTCGACAGTGTAGGAGAGAGAGAATTGCTCATCTGATACACTCACAGCCCCTAAGAAAGGATGGGACGCAGTGCACAAGTGACGGGACGGGCACTCCTGGTGACGGGAAGGCAGAGCGCGTGAGGATGGAAGTTGTAACAGGTCACACCAGACCAGGTGTGGCCACTGTAGTGCACATTCCCTCAGCCTCTGTTGAGGCTGGATATTATCGTTCTATTACGATTTTTTTAACTCTACAAATCTGGTAAAAATTTGTAAAATTTACCTTTAATTACTAGTGAGATAAAACCTTTTTCACTTTATGTCATGTGTAGATTTTTCTTTTGTGAATTACTGGTTTTCAAGATAACTTTCTGGAGGAAAGAATAGAACATCTGTTTTAAATTATTTTCTTTCTTTTTTTTTTTTTTTTTTTTTTTTTTTCTTTTTTCGGGGCCCATTTGCGGAGCACAGGCTCCGGACGCGCAGGCCCAGCGGCCATGGCTCACGGGCCCAGCCACTCCGCGGCATGTGGGATCCTCCCGAAACGGGGCACGAACCCGCGTCTCCTGCATCGGCAGGCGGACTCTCAAGCACTGCGCCACCAGGGAAGCCCTGTTTTAAATTATTTTAAAATCACAGCCTTTTAATATTAAAAGTCAGTTATGGGGGGATTATATATCTTGTGTACGTAGGGGCCAATATTAACTATTTAATAAGTACCCCTTCGTTGCATGCCTCTACTTTAGAGGTGGACATTCTAGCTAGATACAAGGGTTTCTTTTTTTTTTTAACAACTTTATTCGAGTACAATTGCTTTACAATGGTGTGTTAGTTTCTGCTGTATAACAAAGTGAATCAGCTATACATATACATATGTCCCCATATCCACTCCCTCTTGCGTCTCCCTCCCACCCTCCCTATCCCACCCCTCTAGGTGGTGACAAAGCACCTAGTTGATCTCCCTGTGCTACGTGGCTGCTTCCCCCTACCTATCTATTTTACATTTGGTAGTGTATATATGTCCATGCCACTCTCTCACTTCGTCCCAGCTTACCCTTCCCCCTCCCCATGTCCTCAAGTCCATTCTCTACATCTGCATCTTTATTCCTGTCCTGCCCCTAGGTTCTTCAGAACCATTTTTTTTCTTTTAGATTCCATATATATGTGTTAGCATATGGTATTTGTTTTTCTCTTTCTGACTTACTTCACTCTGTATGACAGACTCTACAAATAACTCAATTTTGTTTCTTTTTATGGCTGAGTAATATTCCATTGTATATATGTGCCACATCGTCTTTATCCATTCATCTGTCGATGGACACTTGGGTTGCTTCCATGTCCTGGCTATTGTAAATAGTGCTGCAATGAACATTGTGGTACATGACTCTTTTTGAATTATGGTTTTCTCAGGGTATATGCCCAGTAGTGGGATTGCTGGGTCGTATGGTAGTTCTATTGTTAGTTTTTTAAGGAAGCTCCATACTGTTCTCCATAGTGGCTGTATCGATTTACATTCCCACCAACAGTGCAGGAGGGTTCCCTCTTCTCCACAACCTCTCCAGCATTTATTCTTTGTATATTATCTTTATTAATTTGGTTTTACCTTTTAAAGCTCTAATTATAACTACAATTTAGAATTGTATTTCTACACAAGAATCTCACACCTCTTACTATAATGAGAGTACATATGAACTTCAGAATCAAACTGAGTATAAATCCTGGATCCACTGTTATTTCTTCACTGTGGGGCCTTCAGCAAAACACTGGACCTCTCCGTATTTTCTCATCTATAATATGAAGCTAGTACCTACTTCATAGGGCCATAGTGAGAATTTATTACGTAACTACATGGAGTCCAGTGTCTGACACACAGCATGAATTAAAGACTTCCGTAAGCATGGGTACATCTAGGAACATTAGTATTCAATGAAACTCCTACCGTAATCTGTGCTTTTGCAGAATCACTGTCTTCATTCTCTGTATGCATTAATGGCCTTATTTTTTTCTAATTTTTTAGTAACATTCACTCTATCTTATAACCCTCTACTAATATAAGATGAGATAATCCTTTAACATGCAGAAATTTTGCACGTGTTTATTCCTAAGTTTTAATCATCATGAAAATTTGGAACCAAATGAATATTGTGTTGCAAGCTGTCTTAGGAAATAACTAGTCACTGATTAGGCTTTTTAAAAATCTACAGAAATACATTCTCAGTATAATATATATACAGATTTGAGCAAAAGAAACACATGAATGATTAACTAAAATGACAAAATTATAGGCAGGTGAAAAAAGGGGAATGTTTTCACTCCTTCTAACTAGACATTCTGTAGCCTGTCACATTCAGTGAACGAGTGTATAATAAGATTATTGGTAATAACCGTGCTTTGTTCTCAGTCACATCTCTGCCTTCGTCTCTACACTTGTAGATATAAGGCATATGCTTTTTTCTACACCCGTAAGCTCCCCATAATGTGGTGGTTGCATTTTGTTTCTTTTTAGTGTGAGTTTTCCTCTAATACCAGTCCTGCCCCTGCTCACCTGGCCCTCGGTGTTCTAGTCAGGTGTGTTGTGACTCACACCATATCCTGCAAGATTCATGAAGCTGCCAGGATGCCCTGGCATTTGGGGAGTCAGGGAGAAGTGTAGGAAGTGATGGGTTAGGTGTGTGTGAAATATGTGTGGGAAATAGCGGGTAAGAAGCTCACCAT